ATGTCGAACGCCCCTTTCCCGTAGCTAAGACCGCAGACATATTGTCGCACAGAAGCAGATGACGGCGACCGAAGCTGCTGACGTTTCGTAGCTTGTGCCGGGCCCCCATCACCAGGGCCCGCCCCTCCGCCCGCATGATATTCTCCGACGAGGCGAACCGGCCGAACAAAACGGTGGACCAGGTGTCGAAATCCCCGATCTGCTCCCCATCGATGTGGAAGAAGTCGGTGACCCCACGGCGGGCTCTCACTTGGGAACTTCGAGGCTTGGAAGGGGCCCTGAGGGACCAGCCCGAGACTCTGCTCCCGGGCGCAAATGGCATCCTCGACGCAGTACCTCCACTTCTCCGCACGGCTGGCCACGGCTCGAACAGCCTCCGAGTCCCAAGCCCGCTCGCAGACGCCGCAACCCCCGAAGTCGAACTCGGTGGCCCCGGAGGCGTCGGAGGCCATCACGCACGGGTCGAACGGCCTCTTGGTGTCGACAGCGGCGAACGGCAGAAGTGCTGCCGCGATCCGCAGCTCCCGAGTCACGCAACTCCAGAGACGCCACCGCTGCTCCCCGGCCATTTCACAAAAACAGAAAGCACTGCTGAGGATAGACAAAAGCTCACGTTTCAACAGGAAGGCCCAGGTTAAATGGCCCAGGGCCCGGCGCAGCTGGACCCCGGTGCACCAGCCCTGACGGCAGAGCTAGCAAGAGCCCCAGGCGAATTTTCCACAAGCGCCGGGTCGAAAGCGAAATGATTCCAGAGCTGCGTTCGAACGTGAGGCCTGTAAAAGACTGCTGTTCAGACGCCCCGACCATCCCCTTACAAACCAGACCACGGGATCCCAAGAGCTCGACTGCGGACGCACACCCGTCCGAGCAGCACTTTTCGCTGGTCCTGAGGACAGCGACCCCGTCGACATAGACGGCAGCGAGAGGCCCTTCCTCGAGGCCGGCGGCTGCCCGTCTGTCCTGGACAAGTCTGGAGGGGGGGGGGCCGGAGTCAAGAACAGCTTGTTCTACCATACACTGACAGAAGTATCAAGACCAAGACCACCCCATGGGTGGCGCGCGGAGGACGGGCGAGAGCTCCCCCACCCCGCGAAGCTCCCCAGAGCTGCCTGGACAAAGTGCCTCGAGGTGACGACAAGAGACAGGAGGGAGGACAAAATAATCTTCAATCCCTGCGGGCAGGCCGATGCGATAGAATGCATTGTCAACGTCTGCCTGGCACAAAGAGAGCTCGCATTGATCTGGCACGTAAAGAGTTCCATGCACTAGCCGTGGGCAACTGAGAATACTCGGGGGAGTTGAAAAACTCGTTGCTACCCCTAGTATCGAATATCAGTCTCTGCCTGACGCCGCCACTCTTCCACACGAAGAACACCCCCAAGGTCGCGTCGAGACGGCCTCTCAGGTTCACCAAGCCGGCGGCCTGGAGGTCTAACACGAACTGGGCGTAGGTACCCTTCGCACATAGCCGACTGTCGACGTGAGGCTTGAATTTCTGCACCGCCTCCCGGCTGACACCGGGCCGCAAAAGATGCCGTCGCCACTCCTTCCAGAAACTTAAAGCCGCACCGCCGAGGCACTGGCCCCCCTCGGCCAGGACCCCGCCGGTCGGCAGCGAGACGAGGTCTCGCTGGTAAGGAGCCGTCTTCACCGGGTCGCCATACCCGGGCCTGCTCCCGCACAGCTCACTGCAGGCTGCCGCGGGGCTCACCTCCGGGGCACCGAGTCGCCCCCAACCACGTCGGAGATGCTCGACGCCACGGACCTGAGCGAGAGAAGGTTGGTGCGAGACCTGGTCACCGACTCGCGCACGCGCTCGTCGACGAGGGTCCGGCGGAGGACCCGGCTGCGGACGCTGCGGCTGCAGCGCCCAGCGCCAGGCGGCTCGCGCGGGGCCGAGAGGGCGGCCAGGTTGATAGGCAGCAGCTCGCGAGCGACCACCATCCCAGCCGAGGAGCCGGCAAGGCACGCCCCGGGGGCGGCCCGGCCGGCGGGTGGCGCCTGTGGGCTACTTGCCCCCGCGGCCGCCACCGCGGCCGCCTCCGGCATCGCCCTCCTGCTGGCCGCCGCCGCCTCCGCCGCCGCTGCCGCGGCCCGCCTGGAGCCGCTTGAGCTCCGCCGCCTGCTGCTGGATCTTCTGCTGCAACGAGCCCTTGTCGTCGCCACCCCTGCCTGCGCCGCCTCCGCCGCCGCCACGAGAGGAGATGGCCCGCTCCTCGCGAAGCTTGCGCCGCTCCTTGAGCACGCCAGCCTCGCGGTGGAGCTCGGCCGTGATGTAATCCTGGAGCTCCGGCGCGATCATCAGGTGGCCGCGCGTCTCCGAGGTCCCCATCATGAGGTAGTCGTCCTCGGCCCCGTCGATGCCGTCGGGGCGGCCAATGGCCCTCTCGCGGTAGCGGTGCTCGATGAGCTGCGCCCGCCTCGCGATGTACTCGAAGGCGGCCAGCTCGCTGACGTTCAGCTGGTCGAACGACATGGCCACGTCGAACACGCGCATGCACAGTTCGTGCTCGGCGACGCCGGGGTCGCTGGTGGAGAGCCCGGTCTCGTGCCTCCACTTCGTGTGTCGCGCCCGTGGATGCGTATCCTGGTCCGCCAAGAAGCGCAGGCACCAACGAGTGGTCCGAGGACCGAGCACTGGCCAGAAAGGCCAGCTCGTCTCGCTGAGGAGGTTGACGGCGCCCTTGAACAGTCGGCGCCGCTCCCCCTCGGAATTGACTTCGATGCTGAGCACCCGGGCGTCCAAGTCCCCGTCGCCTCCGAGCTCGTCACGCTTGACCACTCTCACGACGTGCGCCTCCGAGCCCATCAGCACGAGCCCGAAGCCACCCGCGACCGCGTACCCGTCGGTCGCGCCGCCGAGGAACTCCGTGCGCACGGTGTCCGAGCCCGTCGTGGCAAGAATCTCCCAGCAGTGCCCGTCGGGCGGCGTAGGCAAGGCCCCATCTGAGACCTCCATGTTAGTCGGAACCTTCGCTGCTCCATCCCCTGACGGCGCTCCCGCCACTGGCAACGGCTGCTTCCCACGGAGCCGCCGGCTCGGGTGACCGTTGGAGAGAGCCTCGGGGCGGCAGAACTGCAAGGCTGCCACGTAGTCGAGCGGAGTCGGCTCCCAGTCGGCGCCGTACACCGAGTGTCTCCTCCGTAGCTTCCGGCCTTCGGAGGTGGAGTCGATGGGCTGGCCCGTCTTGTCGAGCACCACCACTCCAGCCAGAGGCCCGACCGCTAGGAGGTGCGGGTAGATGTCCCCGTCTGGAGTGAGACAATAGAAGCACTTCGTCACTAGAGCTGGAGATACTGGGTCGCCGACGACGTCTGTGTACTCCCCGGGCGGGCATTCGCAGATGATGATCCTCACTTGCCAGTCCCGTCCGGCCTGCCACAGGACGCCGACACGTTGACCAGCCTCCATAGCCCACGGCGCAGCAGCAGCACCCCGCAGCAGCGCCGATCAAGAAGCAGAGAGCGCACAGGCCTATGAGGAAGCCCCGCAAGCTGCCCGTGAGCTCTGAGAGAAGAAGGCACCCACCTGCGTCCTCGTGCCCTGGTATCAGCACCTGGACCGCCTGGGGCAAATGACTGAGGGCGAATGGCAGAGCTTTGGCTCGAAGGAAAGAGATGACCCCATGCGCCGCCCTCTGAATTAGACTTGAGCCGCAACACCAGCGGCCGACAAGCACGCACGCCCAGCAATGTACTTCGGAGAAGCTCGCTCGGAGGAGGAGGAGGAGGAGAGGGCGGAGGAGGAGTGCGCGCCTCCGGCGGAAGGCCCCGGTGACCACGCGCAGGACACGCGGGGGGGGGCATCTCTCCGTGCGCCCCGGGCTGCACGGGACGTCGCGACCCTCTCGAAGGCCTTGGCCAGGAAGGCCTTCTCTTCGCCGGGCCCTTCGCCAATACTTCGTTGGACGCGCACGGGCGACGCCAGGCCCCCCGCCGCGCCAATTCATGGCGCGCCCCCGCGGCGAGAGACCCCAAAACCGAGCCATGGAAGCCAATCCCGCGCGCCGCTGCAGGAGGCATGATCGCCCTGAGCTGCCGTGACAATCGGCTTTCCCAGCAAGGCACTCGCTGCGCGCCGCAAACACCGCTTGCGCTTGAGCGATTACACATTATAGCATACTGTCATGTAACTTACACATGTCGGATATACGTTGTTGCTCACCTATGTCCGTAACCTATTTTACGACTACTTTGACATTTTCCGACATGCCAGCACCTTTCCTTATTACCTTCGTTCTACGGCGAGGCGGCAATCCCACAACGGAAAAAGAAACGGCCCCCAAAACAGAAACAAGAACGTTGATCTTGACAATAGGAAAACAGCGTCCCCCCCAGCGTTTGAAAGAGCATCTGAAGTCGGGGCGGGGGGGCCTCCAACTGGCATCCCCAAATGGCCCCAGCACGGGGCGAGCCAGGACGGAACGAGAGGTGAGGAGAGAACCGCGAAGGCAAGGACAGAAGTGGCGCGAGAGAGAGGGAGAGAAACTGGGCGGGAGGATAGAAGGGAGGGCAAGACTTTGGATGCTCTTTCTAGGGACCTTCCTGGAGGCACCTCCACTCGTGCGTCGAAGCTCGTCGAACGTCCGTGGATTTGAGCCGACCTTGAGTCGAACCTGGGTCGAACTTGAATGGACCTTGAGTCGAACTGGGGCCGAAGTAAGAGTCGAACGGATCCGTTAGGTGGGCCCCAGGAAGGTCCCCAAAACGAGCATCTATGAAAACGAGCGGGAGGATAAAATAGAAGGCAAGACTGATTCAAGGAAACGGAATACTGAAATGACGGAAGGGGCTGACAGAAAGAGGGTAATAAGGCAAGACAGCAAAAACATATGGAGGAAAACACGGGAAAGAGGTGGGGAAGGGTGTGAGGGATGGAGTAAGTAATACTTCAATACAGAAAGACGGGGAAAGGATTGATGAAACATATGCAGAAGTGGATATAAGGATGCGGTGGAGCGATAGCTACAAGAACAATGAGGAGCGAGGAGGGATGAGGAGGGATGAGGACAGCAGGGGGGAAGGAGGGAGGAGCAGGATAAGGGGGACAGGTGATTTCATTTTGGGATCCAGTCGGCCAGAGCTGGCGATTACGAAAGCAACCTGAGAGAGCGACGTCGTAAAGCTCCGCCCGTGCGCCGCGACGGAGGTCGAAAGATGGTGCCGACACGACACGGAGGCCCCCGACACGGGAACTCGGCTTCGGTTTTGGCTCGCGTCGCGTGCGCGGGCGAGGCGAAGCCGCGCGCGAAGGCGAGTGCTCCAGCCCTGCCCGAGCCCCAGCCGGGCCACAGAGGCCCGCGCCAGCCCCGGGGGCGCGCCCCGGCTGGGCAGCGCGACTGCCCGGCGCAGCTGTCGCGCGGCGTGCCCGCGGTTGTCCCGTGGTTCTCCCGTGGTCGTCCCGTGGTTGTCCCGCCTGTGGGTCCGCCACTGTGACCCCTGGCGCGCTGAGGCGTGGCAGCACGCCAAGGGCTGTCTGGTAGGGTTTCTGTGTGGTCTTCCAAGTCCCCCCTCTGCTCACAGGCGGGCGCGCGCATCGCCCTCCTTCCAAGAGGCCACGATCCCTCGGAACAGAAAGCAGAATAGCCAGCGTGGACACCAACAAGTGATGTCTTGCAATCTACGTGGTCAATGTAGTCAAATCTAAGTAGTGCAATCCATGTGGCGAAATCTATGTGGTGCACTAAATGTGGTGAAATCTAGGTGGTGCAGTTGACTTTTACCCATGATTTGACACATCCCATGCTCTTGCAAACATCCCACCCAGCCACCCGCAACTTGGTTTGCAAAACCTCTTAAGACCGACTACGACGACACCGACGACAACGACGACGACGACACCGACGACGTCTCCGACGACTTCGACGACGACAACGACGCCGACGCCGACGAAGACGACAACGACGACGTCGCCAACGAAGACGACGACGAGGAAGGAGGAAGGACGACGACGGCGACAACGACGACAACGACGACAACGACGACAACGAGGGAGGGAGGACGGCGACGACGCGAACGACGAAGAAGGAGGAAGGACGGCGACGCCGACGACGACAACGACGAGGGGGGAGGGAAGACGACGACGAGACGCGACAACGACGACGACGACGGCGACGAAATAGGAGGGACGACGACGAGACGCCGACGACGGACGACGACGACGACGACGAGGGAGGAGGAGAAAGGACGACCACGGCGACAACGACGACGGAAACGACCACGACGCCAAAGAGGACGCGACGACGAAGAGGAAAAACACAGGACGACGTAGGCGACGACGACGACGCGGGAGGAGGGAGGACGGCGACGACGACGACGACGACGACGACGACGACGACGACGACGTCGCCGCAAAAGCGCGCGCGCACGCTGTTGTTGAAAATCCGTGTTGCGAAACCTTGTGTTTTTATAGGTTTTTTGGACGCGCGATTTTGAAATCCTTCCGAAACCGATGGGTTTTGAAGGATTTCGGCGTACGCGCGCGACGATGCGCGCGTCTGCACTTCGTCCCTTTTTCTGCAGAGGATTCTCGCGACGGCACACGCGCAAGGGCGTTCGACAGATTTCGACATGCGCGCGCGACGCCCGTTTGGAGGCATGTTGTGAAAATCTTGAAAAACAAATAGTTTTCTTAAGATTTCGCAAGAGCTCGCGCGTAAGCTTTTTTAGCAAATCAGTGTTACGAAACCCTGTGTTTTGTATGTTTTTTGGAAACTCGTTTGCGAAATCCTTCCGGCACCGAGGGTTTTTGAAGGATTTCGGCATGCGCGCGCGACGACGCGCGTGTGCACTTCGTCCCACTTTTTTGCAAGGGATTCTTGACAAAGTTGTATGTTAGAACAAAAAATGTCACCGCATACTGTTTTTTACAAGGGAACTTCGGGGGGGGGGGAAACCGGCTGGCCTGGGACATTCTGATTTCATAGTCAGGATGGACATGTGGTCAGAATCAGATGTGATTTACATACCCGATAGGGGGACCGATAACGCCGGGGAGGGGGGGGTAGAGTCTATTCTCTTTTTAGAAAAGAGAATTGATTTTAACAAACGAGTTGACACATCCCACGCTCTTGCAAACATCCCACCCACCCACCCGCAACTTGGCTTGCAAAACCCATGTGGTGACGATTGCGATGACTGTTTGGAGTTAGCTGGCCCATCTCTGCGGCCGCGCCAACCCAAGCGCGCGCGCAGCGGCCAGCTAGTTTGGCGCGACCGACGCGGCCGCGGTGGCGCTGACTGCTGGGCACATCCCAGCTGAGCGACGACACCGACGACGTCTCCAACGACTTCGACGCCGACAACGACGACGACGATACCGACGACGACGACGACGCCGAGGCCGACGACGACGCCGATGACAACGACGACGACGCCGACGACGACGACAACGACGACACCGACGACGACGACGTCAACGACGCCGACGACGACGACGACGACGACGACGACGACGACGGCGGCGGCGACGACGACGACGGCGACGTCGACTACGACGACGCGCGCACTTGATGTGGCGCAAAACCATGCCAAACTATGCAAAACAATGCAATGCAATGACAAGCACTGACAAGTATTGCAAAGCAAGGAATTGCAATGCCAAGCAACGCAAAGCAATGCAAACCACTGCAGAGCAACGCAAACCACTGCATACCGATGCAAACCGATACAAAGAAGTGCATGACAATACAAAACACTACAAAGCAATGCAAAGCAAAGCAAAGCAATGCGAAGCAATGCGAAGCAATGCAATGCAATGCGAAGCCATGCAGAGCCATGCAAAGCCAAGCAAATCGTGCAAAACCATGCAAAGCAGCTCATAGCAATGCAAATCACTGTAATGCGATGCGAAGCTATGCAAAACGATGCTCAACGGCGACGGGCGGCAACGAACCCGTCGGACAAGCACCAGAGCCCAACGGCGACGGCGGCGACGGGCGGCGACAGGCGTCGTCGGGCGGCAAAGAGCCGGTCGGACCGGCACCAGAGCTCGATTACCTTAGAAGCGAAATAAGGACTCCTAAGTGCAAGCACTGTTTGGGGAATGTTCCGCACTCCCGAGACCACCATGACTCGTAAAAAACTACAGATCTGCGCTCCAAGCTTCCAAGACGGCCCAAGCAGACAACCAAGACCGCCAAGATGGCCCTAGATGCCTCGAAGACGGCCCAAGATGGCCCCAGGGCAGCCAAAGATTGCCTCTAGACTGCACGAGATGCCCCAAGAGGTCCATAAGAGGATCCCCCACAAGGCCCGAAGAAACCAACACCAATGATGTTCCTCGAGCTTGTGCCGGAATTTGGTATTCTCGCCTTTCCGCAGACCCGTCGGCCGAAGACGGTCCGATAAGTCTGCAATAATAGATCTCCACAACGGCCCAAGAGGCCCCAAAGCGTGTCCCAAGGTAGCCCAAAAAGAAACCCCACGGTGGCCCCAGAGGTATCCAAGACGACCCCAAGAGGGCCTCTGAAGAGGCCCAAAATGGCCTTGTTATGCCCCTTGACGGCCCAAAACGGCGGGCCCAAGATGGCCCCCGTGGACCCCCGATACTGCCGCGCAGGAGCCCAAGACAGCTCTAAGACGGCCCAAATAAGCTCCATGAGAGCTGCACCAGAAGTGAAGACGAAGCGTGTCACGTTTGACGGTCTTCCCTTTCCCCCTCCTCCTCCTCCTCCTCCTGCTGAACCTTCTCCTCCTTCTCATCATCACCATCCTCATCCTCATCACGGCTCTCCCAAGGCTGGGGACACGAAGTGGCACACGTGACGGTCTGCGACGCCACTTCGAACAATCGCAACTTAGAATGATGGGCTAGCAGAGTGGCGGGACTTACCGCAGGCAACTGAATAGATGAATAGATGTAAAGACCGATTGATGCTTCCTGAAATCGATCGATGTATTGATAGTCTATAAATAGATAATGAGAACTACGGATAATGAACCCGCTTTACATATTGACAATGGGATCCATTGATACATTGAGACCGGTGAGCCGTGAGATCAGCCGATGCTTTGATGGTGAGGTCTGTAGGTTGGCAACGAAGACAATCGACAATCAGATTGTACTGTGACTGCCCCGTGGTTGTCCGTACTCGACCCGTGGTTGTCCCGTGATTGACCCATGGTCGTCGCGTGGCTGTCCCTCGGTTATCCCATGGCGTGCCTGGTCGTGTCGCGCGGCTGCTAAATCATTGCCTCGTGGTTGTCCCGTGATTGTCCCGTGGTTGCCCGTGTTTTCCCGCGGTCGTCCCGCTTACGCATGTACAATGTAGTGAGATGTAAGATCGGTGGACAGGTATTGAGATGTGTATGTCTGTTTTCAAACCATTGGTGAGATCCATGCAGGATTGCATCAATATACCGATGTATAGTGAGACCGACTGTTGTTCCTGATGGTGTGATTGGTGGGTAATCAATGGGACCGATCGGTCGGGAGCTCGATAGATATCGTGATCGTTAGATAGATAGATCGCGAGTTCGATCCGACGCCAATCGCAAACGGGAAGCCGCACCCATCCCCCCAACCATATGACCCTCCGAAGGGCGGTCCTATAGCTAAGATGTGCGATCTCTACGCAGTGGATGTCTAATAATTACCGCCGGGGCAGCAGCGAGTGGGGTTCCCCCGGGGGCGCAGGGCGAGTCGCAAAGCGTGGCTGGAGTCCCGAGCGACTGCTGGCAGTGCTGTCCGCCCGCGGTCTGCAGCGAAGGCAGGGGCACCGTGGGAGAGAGGGGGGCCCTGTGGGGGGAGCAGGGCTCGACCTGCACGGCGTGCTCCGTCTTCGTCAATTGCGTTTCCGTTTGTTCCCCTCGCGCTGTCTTCGTTCCGTCCGTGCTGCAGAGCGGAATCGGCACGAAAGCGGTCCACGAGATCCTTACAAACACCTTTACAGTGGGGGCTCGGTCACAAGAAACCTCAGCAAGAAACCCAACCCTGAAAGTTGCGATCTGTTCCATGAAAACCCTGAATATGTCGATCGAAAATCGTCCAGATCTTATTGGGGACCCATCGAAGTCAAGGAAACCCAGGGCACCCTGGCCAAATCCAACTGGTTTCTTGGCACGCGCCCCCACTGTAAGGTCGAGCCCCGTGGGGAAGGGGAGGGCGGAAGATCAGGAGGGGCCAGAGAGCACGGCGGATAGCACACCCAGCGCGGGCCTCGGACGAGGCAACGAATTCAATCTGCTGTACACTCTGTTGGCGGCGCGCAGCAGGGGCTTTGGGGGAGGGGGGGGACTTCTTAGAATCGGGTCGGGCGAAAGGGGGGGATAGCAAAGAGGGGGGTTGAGAATCAGCTCACGTAGCTGATTTTCCTGGCGCCTCCCGGCGCCAGGGGCGGCTATGTATCGAGGAATGGCCCCCTCGGTGAGGCCGAAACCAGCTGCATGCAGCAAATTTCGAACCCCCCTTTTCCCAATCCCCCCTTTCGCCCGGCCCGATAGAGGGAGGCTGCTTCTCAGAAGGCGCCGGCCTACATCTATGGACAAGGCACCCGCCTTCTGAGAAGCAGGGGTGCTTCCAGAAGCTTTCCCCCCCCTCCCCCTGCCCCCCTCTGCGCGTGGCCGACTCTGCCTGGGGCAAGATGCGGACGACACCACGGTCGCGTAGGACGCCGCGTCCTTTCTCGCGCCTAGCGTGGCGAGAACATGACGCTCGGTCCCACCCTATGAGGTGCCGACTGCGCACGCGACAATGCCATCGATCGGGCTGTGTGATCTCGCCCAGCTTGCATTCGAATTGCCGGCCTCACTGGCTGCGTGCTGCCCTGCTGGGGGCTTGCCGGTCCATGGACCAGTGGCCTCGTCGGCGAGCTGGGCGTGGAGCTCTCCCTGACATTCTCCAAGTCTGGCAGCTGGGCCTTCGGGGATCTACTGACACGGGTCAATCCAGAGCAAGATCAGTCGGGCTTTGCAGGATCCCACAAGATCCTGCAGGATCCTGCAGGAGCCTGCACCCAAACCCAGATCAATGCAGCCGTGGCTCTGCAGGATCCTGCAAGATCCAGCGCTCTGACTGACCCCCGCTTGCATTGACCTCCGTCTCTTGAGCCCCACGGCCTTGGGGCGCATCGCCCTGTACACGAACACGCCGATTCCACACATCACGAGGCTCTGCAAGACGATGAGCATCGACATAACACAGTGCCACCAACTGACTCCACCGCTCTCCTGCGGCCCAGAGCCGCCCTCGACGGCCGCGTCCCCCTCTGGCAGCAGGTAGACGTCCAGCGCGCGCAGGGACCAGTAGGCCTCCTGGAGCTCCTCTGGGTGGAACGCCACGAGCTCCTCGCACGTCATCCTCTCGGCAAACCTGGGGCAGTCCCTGGGGAAGGTGCCGCCGGCCCAGTCGCCGCAGAAGGACAGGTCGAACATCATGTGCATGCGCGCGAAGTGCTCCTTCGGGCAGCTGGGGCCGAGCCCGAAGAAGGAGAACGGCGTGCCCCAGGCGTCCGGCGTCGGGGCGCCCTGCCGGACGTCGTCGGGGACCTGGCCGCGCGGCCAAAACCAGGTCCGGAAGTAGCCGCGCCGTGGCGCCCACTCCGCGGCGTAGGTGCCGCCCCCCCCCTGGTTGAAGCCAGGGCCCATGGAGTCCTCCGGGCCCTCCTGCACGCAGCCCTGGTTCTTGTACTGCCCAGGGGCGTGGACGTAGCAGTTGGAGGCCGTGGCGCTCGACGAGCCGGCCGCCCACCTGCCGGTCATGTCCTCGCCCGCCACCACCTCGGACTGGTCGCACCGGTCCGAGGTGTGCAGCGTGGTGGACGATCGCACCTGGACGTTGACTCCCTCGATGACGTCGTACTCGCCCAGGGATGGCCACGGGTGGTCGGCGTCCTCCCCAAACATCCAGAAGGCAGGCCACGTGCTGCAGCCCGTGGGCACGTGGTCGACGCGGACGATGAAGAGCCCCGAGTCGTACGCGTCCTTGGACCTCACGCGCACGGACCTGCGGCCGGTGCCTCCAGTGCTCGACGTCATCTCTGCGCCCATGTACACCCGGTCGCTCGAGGCGTTGGCCAGGCCCGTCGACAGCGCGGTCGAGCGGTCTACGTAGATGACGTGCCCGCTGGTGGGGTCGGGAGAACTGTCAAAGTCCCACTCGTCGAAGAAGTCGGCCCCCACGTAGGAGCGGTGTTTCAGGTACCTGCCAGCAACCGCCACAGCTCCCTGGGCTAAGCAGAACCAACGGACGGGCATCTTCGCGACTGGGGCGGTGGTAACGCCAAGCAAAGGAAGGTTGCTGGCAACCTTCTAGACCAAATTGACTACGGAAGAGATGCAGCAGTCTTGCATTTCCGAAGAGAGGCCCAGGTGGTCGCCAGGGCGGCCCCGGAGACATCCAAGGTAATGCGAGAGGTCCCACGGGGCCCAATGGGGTACGAGGGGCCTCTACAGACACCCACAGAGCGCCCATTAAAGGCCCCAAGCGGCCCAAGCTAGTCCACGAGTTGTGGCTTATGCTTTGTTTCCACTAGGTTCGATCTAAGACGGTTGTAAGCGTGATCGGACAAGAATGGGAAGCGCCGATGTTGTCCATTGGGCTCGTAAGGACGATGGCGACGACAAGGCGGCGGACGACGAGGATGACAGCGTGGATGACGGGGAAGGAAGAGGTGTGTTGGAGGACAACGAGGAGGACGACAAGCACGAGGACGACGAGGACGAGATGGAGGAGGACGAGTCCGAGGAGGAACGAAGCGGAAGAGGAGGAGGCGGAAAAGGCGGAAGAGGAAGAAACGCACGACGACGACGAAGGATGACGGTAAGGAGCCCGAGGAAAAAGGACGTCGAAAAACAGGGGGCCTCATCATGACTTTTTGAGGCTACCGTGGGAGCTGCTGGGGCCATGCGGAGCCATCCCGGGGCATCCGCGGGGCCTCTTGGGGGCCTGTCGGGGCCTTTTGGGGGGGCTCATGGGCTGTCCCGGCGGGCATGTCTCAGGGTTCTGTGTGAGCTCATCCAAGTCTCGGGTCGGGCGAAAAGGGGGGATAGCAATGGGGGGAGTGTTGAGAATCAGCTCACGTGGCTGACTTTCCCGGCGCCTCCCGGCGCCGGGAGGCGCCCATGTATCGAGGAATGGGCCCCTCCGTGGGGCCGAAACCAGCTGCATGCGGCTCGATATTTCGCCCCCCCTTTCCCAAACCCCCCCTTTCGCCCGACCCGAGTCTTGGCGCCACCTTGAACTGTTTTGTGCCAGTCTAGGGGCCTCCTGGAGCTCTCTTGGGGGCCTCTCGGGGCTCTCGTTGGATCCTCCATGGGGGCCAATTGAGGCTCTCCTGACCCACGCTGGGCCCCTCCAAGAGCGATTCCAAGACGATATTGAGTCGGAGCCCCCTCCGGCCAGATCCATGTTGTTGAACTTGTACCGAGCGAGACGGCCATTTTCAGAAACCAAACGGCACACAAACGAGAAGCGTCGCTTTTGTGCACGAGTTCAATCAACAAAAACTCTGGTTGAAATGTCAAACCCAGAAACGAAACACAAAAGACCAACAGAAGCGCTGGCGATTCATAAAGTTGGCCAACCGTGCTCCTGTAGTCTGCCGTGCTACCGTGGTCTGCCGTGCGTGGTCAGCCGTGCTTTCGCTGTCGTGGTCTGCTGTGCTGGTCTGTCGTTCTGCTGTGGTCTTCCGAGTCGGTCTGCCGTGCTGCTGCGGTCTGCCAAGCTACAGGGCAGTTTTTTTTTAATACATGGGATGTGTTAAAATATCGGATGTTTAATAACGATTCATGTACGAACAAATTGATGCATGAATTCATCGTTGGTTTTAGTACGAAATCCCTGCATGTTTTAATGCATGATGCGCACGCGGAGCATGTATAAAAAACGGCACTGTGCACTGCCGTGTTGCGGTAGTCTGCCGCGCTGGTCAATCGTGCTATATATATATATATATATATATATATATATATATATGTGTGTGTGCCGTGCCGCTGTCGTTTGCCGTGCTGGTCTGCCGTGTTCCTATGGCCTGCTGTGCCCGTCTGCCGTGCTGGTCGGTGTGCTTCTCCAATCTGCAATGTTCCTGCAGTCTGCCACGCTCCTGTTGTCCGCCGTGCTTTGTAACCCGCCGTGTTGATGTGGTCTGCCATGGTGGTCGGTCGTGCTGTTGTGGTCTCCCGTGCTCTTGTTTTATGCCGCGTTGCTGTGGCTTGCCGCACTGTTCTGTTCCGCCGTGCTCCTGAGGTCTTCCGTGCTGCTGCTGCCGCGGCCTGTCGCGCTGGTCTGCCATTCTCACGCAGCCCGCCCCGCGTGGGAATGGAATGGGACGTGGGCCCCCCTCCCCCTGCTTGGTGGAAGGCCAAACGTGCCCTTCTCATGTGCGCGTACGCCTGTATGTCGCTCCTGATGAGGAGGCCGTCGGGGCCTGGCATGGCGCGCGCGTGAGCGGCAACGCACGAGCGTGCACGGGACTGGCTGATGGCGATAGCGAAACGGAAGACGACCGAAGCGGACGGGTCAAAAGTGGCGCAGAGCGGCCCAGCAATCGAGCAAACCGAGCAGGCTGAACGCCCACCGCTTGGTGGAAGGGCACGTTTGCCCTTGGTTGAAGGCCTCCCCCTGCTTGGTGGAAGGGCACGTTTGCCCTTCCACCAAGCAGGGGGATGGGGGCCACAGGGTCCCCCGGGGGGAAAGGCCAACGCCGATCCCCCAAATCCGAAACGCTGCTGCGCGCGAGCGAGGCGCTGCCCCCACCCAGCGGCTGCTGCCGACCAGGATCGCCGCCCACCCTCGAGAACTAGTGGGCGGGCCCCGATGCAATGGAGAAGGCGCCGGACGAATGCGCCCCAATCGCGCGGGAAAGGCGCCCGTCTCGCAAACGAGAAGGGGCCGCTCATTCGCCTTGCGCACGGCGAGCGCCGCGCTCGCCCTCCGCCTTCGAGGTCTGCGCCGAAGCACTCCCCAGAGCCCGCGGCGGCAGCCCGGCGCCCCCGCTCGCGAAGCCCGCATGGCTCGCCGCGCCGGCCGACGTGAAGTGGGAGCGCGCGAGGCACTGCAGCACTCAAAACTCTGTCAGCACCACCCGGCAGCAGCAGGATGACCATGCGATGGCGACTGCTCTCGCTTGCGCCGCCCTGCGAGGCCCGCGCCCGCCGGGCCGACCAGCGCGCCGCGCCTCCAGTCGTCGAGCCACCCGCTCGCCTCTCGGCCTGCTGCCGCGCGGCGATCCGCTGGGGGGTCGAGCTGGCGCATGGTCGAAGGCGCCGCGGGCGTCGCCGCGAGGTGCCCTACCAGCCCGCCGCTCCTGCAGCCTCGCAGCGAGCTCCTCGCGCGCGGGCGCCTGGTCGACGAACTCGCCGACGTCCTCCTGGGCCGAGCTGTCCTCGGACTCCTCTGGCGCCCGAGGCGTGGCCTTCCACGGCCAGCTGCGCTTCGGAAGCGCGGCGCGGCGCTCCTCGACATGGCGCCCTCGTGCGCGCGCTCGCCGAGCTCTCGGCGTCGCTGCTGGCCCCCGTCTTCTGGCGGACCTCGCGGGTCGGCGGCGCCACCTCTGGAAGGCGACCCCTCTCCATGAGCTCCGCCTCCATCATCCTCAACATGGTCGGCATTCCGACCAGAGACGCCGCCGTCGCGTCGAGCTCCTCGTGGCCCGCGGGCAGCGCAAGGCACGGCACCGGCAACGCAGCGAGGCCGAACGACGCCGCGCCTCCTGGCGGAGTCGGCGGCGTCGGCATGCTCGGGCGCCCCGGCGCCGAGATCGCCGGGGGGCCCGGCGTCGGCAGCATCGACGCCTCGAAATCCACCGGCAGGTCCAGCACCTGCATCATCTCCATCGCGGCCGCGCCGGGGGCCTCTTGGAGGCTGCTAGGCGGGGCGCCTCCGCGTCGCCGCCCCGAGGGGGCTCGCCGGCAGCTGCGCGGGCCCTCTCCGTCGGCCGCCTTTCCAACCTCACCGCCGAGCGCCCAACGGGCTGCGCGGGGCCGCCCGCGCCCCGCTGCGCGTCGCGGAGTGCCATCCTCAGGGCGGGCAGCTGCTGCCCGCGATGCCTGAGAGTGCCGCCGAACTGGCCGAAGGGGTGGGGGGCGGCCTTGTCGCGCTCGCGCGTGCATTGCGCGCGCCGCGGCGCGGCCGAGCGGTTGGGGCGCCGCGACGGCTCGCGCCCCGCCGCGCCGGAAAGACGGCGAGGCGCGGCAGCGAGGAGCCGGGGCGACCGCAGGGCTGCGGGCGGCGCGCGGACGCCGATGGCGCTGGCTCGGCGAGCCAAGGGCCCGGGTCAAGGCAGCGACGTCTGTCCCGTGCTGGTCAGCCGTGCTGATGGTCAGCCGCGCTGGTCTGCCGTGCCCATCGGGTCTGCCGCGCCCCTGTAGTTTGCCGTGCTCTTGTGTGCTGCCGCGCGCTGGTCTGCCGTGCTGCTGTGGTCTGCCGTGCTGCTGTGGCGCGCCGCTATGAATTGCCATGCTTCTGTGGTCTGACGTGCTGGTCTGCCGTGTTCCTGTGGCCTGCCGTGCTGGTCAATCATGCTGCTTTGGTACCGCGCTGTTTGTGAAAGTGAAAGCCGGGGCCTTTATGGCTCAGGGGAGTGCCCACCACTACACGCGGGGAGGCCACCGCGGCCAGGGGACGGCGGAGGCGGGCCAGAGGAACGCGCGAGTTGGGTCCCGCACGCTCCACGCCGAGCCCCCCCCCCTTCCGAAGAGCTCCTCGAAGGCCCCTCGGACCCGAGTTGAAGTCAACGGGAAATCAAAAATCAGGCGAGCCGCAAACGTGCACGTTGACAGGGGCAGGAGGCCTGGCTAGATCATACACGAGAGAACCAGCAACGCGCTTCAATGGCCTCAAAGCAACTCCTTGGAAGTGGCGACACTCTTTATCCAAAGGTCTGCGGCCGAGCCCTGCTGATGGAACGCGAACAGCTGCTTGACCGCGTGGGCGGCCTCGACAGTGCCCACGGCCCGCAGGAGCCCGAATGAGGCGTCGCTGAGGCGCAAGGGCGCGCTGGCCTGCCGCTGGAGCACCTGCGCGAGCATGCCGCGTGCGAACATCTCCCTCGGCTGGTCTCGACAACGAGGCGGCGGGAACCTGCTCGCCGCCTCTGACAGAGCCCGCGGCGGGGGGCACGGGGGCCGGAGACCGTGTCACGTCGCGCTCGCGGCCCTCCGCAACTGCCGCCCCCCTCGAAGACGCCGGAGAAGCCGAGGCGCGTGGCGGCGCCGGATCCTCCTCCATGGGCATCGAGTGCTGGGCCCCCGCCGAGCCGCCCGCGGGCGCGCTACCAGCCGCCGCAGCGGCCCTCGCGCCAGGGCCCCCAGCGCCAGCCGCGCCGACACGAGGATCCCGGCGGGGCTGCGGCCGCTCGAGGAGCCCGAGCCACTGCCTCGCCGAGCGCCTCCGCCAGCGCCGCACCTACAAGCGCAGGCCGGCACCCCCAGTGCTGCAGGGCGCCGAAGGCGCGGAGCAGCGACTGGGCTGCTCGCGCCTGCGCCCTCATGGCCTGAGCCCGGCGCTCAGCCGCCGAGCGCCGCGGGCGCGCTGGCACGCCGGCGGCGAGCTAGGGCGGGGCCGCCATCCGCGCCGCGAAGGGGAAAGCCGCGGAGGAAGGGAGGAGGCCCGCGGGGGGGGCGGCAACCGCGGGCCGCCCAGCGCGGACTCGCAAGCCTCCGCGCCAGGCGGCGGCCAGAGCCGAATTGGCGCTTTTGGTACCGTGCTAGTCTGCCATGCTCCTGTGGTCTGCCGTGCTGGTCTGCTGTGCTCCTGTGGTCTGCCGCGCTCATCTGCCGTGCTCCTGAAGTCTGCCGTGCCGGTCTGTCGCGCTTCCGTGGTCTGCCTGGCTGGTCTGCCGTGCTGCTGTGGTTTGCCGCGCTGGTCTGGCGTGCTCTCGTGGTCTGTCGCGCTAATCTGCCGCGCTCCCGTTGTCTGCCCGCTTGTCTGCCATGCTCCTGTTGTCGTCGCCGTGCTCCTATGGTCTGCCTTGCTGGTCTGCCGTGGTCCTGTTGTCCGCCGTGCTCCTGTGGTCTGCCGCCGTGGTCTGCCGTGCCCCTGTGGTCTGTCGCGCTGGTCCGAAGTTTCCCCCGTGGTCAGCCGCGCTGGTCTGTCGCGCCCCCGGTCTGCCCAACGCTCCCCTTGCGGGCTGGGATGCGGGGCCCTAAAAAAGAAGCAAGCTGGCGGAAAGAGCGCGCAATCCCTTCCAACCGAGAGGCAGGGGGAGAGGGTGCCCCGTGGGACTAGGGGGGCAGAAACCGATTGGCTCTGGCACCCCAGCTCCGAAGCACCTCCGAAGCGAGCAAGGAATGGCTCCCGCCCAGCGGCGAAGGTTGACCAGGATCGACGTCCACCCTCGAGTCTAGCGGGCGCGCCCCGATGCGATGGGGGAGGCGCCAGACGGGCGCGCCCCGATCGCGCGGGGGAGGTGCCCGTCCTGCAGAAGCCACGCGGGGGCCTCTCTATCACTTCTGCGCTCGGGGTAGCCTGGCTGGCGGGCTGCCCAGCACCCGCTGCCGCGGCCTCCGCCGCCGGGGCCTCCTCTGCGCGACGGGCGGCGGCGACCCCGGCGCGCCGCAGCGCGGAGCGCCGCCGCCTCTGCCCAGTCCGCCAGGCCATCCTTGCGGCGGCCAAGGGCGGGGATCCTGGCCGCGCCGCCGCGGGCCTCGGGCGCCGTGCGCGGCCCCGCCGAGCGCGCTGGCGCCGCGTGGGCGACGTGCTCGCGGCCCGCGCCCCCGCCGCCGTCGGCTGCGACGGAAGGGGCGCGATTTCCCCTGAGAGAGGCGCGATGCCCACCGCGATCATCATCTCCGCCCTCGGCCCCCACCCAGACCCGAGCCGCGCAGCTTGGCCTCCTCGGGCCAGGGCGCGACGGCGAGGCGTCTCTCGCTCCTCGTCTTCTGGCGGCTTCCTGGGCGCATCGCTCGACCCCGGGCGCCTCCCTGGTTCCGGCCGCTCTTCCGAGGGCCTCCTGCTGCAGGCGCTGCGGCTTCCTCGTCTCCTGCGCCTCCTTCCGCGGCCGCGCCGGCGCCCGTCTGCGCCGCCGTCGCCGCTGCGGCCGTCGCCGCTGCGGCCGTCGCCGCCGCCGCAGCTGCGCCTCTTGCAGATCTCGCGGCCCCGCATCCGCAACTGGCCCTGGAACTATCTGTCGGTGTAGAACGAACCGTTCTCGCTCAAATTGCTCCCGTTCGCCAAATTCGGCCCCGCCCGCTGGCCGCGGCCCTGGCTCGCGCGCCTCCGGGTGGGCCTGGATGCCGTCGCCGCTGTCGATCGCCCTGGTCAGCCGCCTGCGACGGGGCGGCAGGTCGCTCGCCGCGGCTTCAAGCCTGGGCCACCGCCGCGCCCCAGGGTCTGGGCGCCGCCCCCCTCCGGAACGCCCTGGCCGTCAGCGCCCCAGCAAGCGCGCGCGGCCCGCGAGATTTGGCGCCCGCTGCCGGCGCCGGGCGCGGTCGCGCGCTGCTCGCTGCCACGCGCGCTGCAGGTCTCACCATGCCGAGCGTCAGCGCTCGTTGACCGCGTGGTCGGTCGTTGGCCCGATGAAGAGAAGCCCTCCATCTCGCCCGACTGGAGCGCCGCTGCGACGCACGCCGCGCAGTCGGCCATCCAGTGGCGGAGCGCCAACTCCTCGCCGCCAGGTCCGAGGTCCACGCCCCGCCTCCTCGCGAGCGTAACCGCGCGGTCCTCGGACCCGCGCGCTCCGGCGGTTGACCGCGCCCCGCGTTCGGCCTCGCGGCGCGGCGCGGGCGGCCGCCGTGCCTCGACGCGGGGCGCATTGCATTCGCGGCTGGGGGCCGCCTGCGCGCCCGGGCGGGCTGGCCCCAACTCAGGTTCCGCGATGGCGACCATGCATCGCTCCTCGCCATCTGGGATCGCGTGGGCGCTCTTGGCCGCGATGCGCTGCGGCACGATGGAGGCCTGCGAGTTCCTTCTGCCAGCATGGCCGCTGCCTCGCTGCTGGAGCTCCGTGATCCAGCCTGCACGAACGTCGCGCATGCTGCCGTGCGCGGCTCCTTAGGGTTTACCCACTCGAACGTCGCGCAGACCCGCGCCCGCAGGTGCGAATTCGGCTTGCTGGGGGCCGTCGCGCATGCCTTGCCACCGCGGCGGTCCGACACTGTGGAGCCGCTACCAATGCTGGCCTCCTGGGTCGCGGAACCGCCGCAGGTGTGCCGCATCCAGCCCGCGCCGCCCTCGCCGCCCATGGATGTCGGCGGCGGGCGCAGGCCGCATCCCGCTGGGCCAAGTTGCTGTCGTCGTCGGCCTGGAGCTGGGTGAGGGAGGGGCCCAACGCTGAGCCGAGCTGGAACTGCCTTCTCTTCGGTCACGACCCATCCCTGCCCTACTAAGACATTGGATCCTGGCCCACCGCATCTAGCTCTCTGCCGTGCTGGTCTGCCGTGCTGGTCTGCCGTGCTGGTCTGCCGTGCTGGTCTGCCGTGCTGCTGTGGTCTGCCGTGCTGGTCTGCCGTGCTTCTGTGGTCTGCCACGCTGGTCGTCCGTGCAATTGTGGTCTGCCGTGCCATTGTGGGGCGGACCCTCCAACATCCCCATTTGGGGAGGAGGTCTCCGGCGAAACGTTTGCCATTCCATAAGCCGATGCCGGTGCAGTCGTAGTTTGGTGGTGATGTCCCGAGCGAGGTCGCAACTTTCGTTCGTCTTGATGGGCGCTCGTGGGGTTCTCTTGGGGCCTGATCGCGGCTCTGTTGGGCCGCTGATTCCTTCAAACATGAACCCGATACGATCTTGCAAACATAAACTTTTTGAGGATGCCTTTAACGGCATCGCCACTTTTGAAAGGCTGGCTTGGGTCGTAGGGAGGTCTTTCGAGAGCGATGCCAACCCAATGTCAGAAACTGTGCTTGCTCTAAACTATGCTAACGCATCTTCGTGTCCTTCAGGATGTCCCTAGCGAAATTGTCCTGAGGGCGCTCTTGGAGCCATCCTGGGGTCCTTGTTCGTGCATGCGCCACATGTGGCGGCCTTTCTCTTCCTTATCTTCATGCTGCTGCTCCTCCTCCTCCTCCTCGTCATGATCATCATCGTCAGCGTCCTCATCAGCCTCATCACTGCTCGCCCAAACCTGGGGACACGAGGTGCCGCGCGTGACGGCCTCCCGTGCCCCTCGAACAACTGTCGTCCACATTGCTGGGCTGGCACTGGGGTGGGACTTGCCGCAGGCAGCTGGATACGAGTGCTGACGAGGGCCTCCAGATGGCACAACAGTGGCCTACTGCTGGGCCCTCCCCTCCCCCAAGCATTCCACGGGGCCTTCCACTTGGCGTCTCAGTTGGCTTTCAGGCAGGCCTCTCAATGGGGTTCACACGGGGCTCTCCCCCTCCTGCAGCTAAACTTGATGTCATCCGCCCCATCCGCTGGTTGTAATCCGCCCAAGATGATCCTTGATCAGCTCGAACGGTCGCACTCGCTCTTAAGTTGTTCGACATTGAGGGGGCACGTGAGGGGATGCAGGAGGTAGGTACAGGTAGCCATGGGGTAGAATTGGGAGTGCGGAGTGGACCGTGGGAAGGGCAAGGGAGCAGTGCGTAGGGAGCAGTAGGAGCTGTGGCAACAAACTGGAAAATCAAGTGGGAAGCAGGGGCGCAATAAGCAAAGACAGGCACATCCGAAACAACTTCGTGAGAGGGATGAGTTCGGATGAAGTGAAAGGAGGGGGGAATCAAGGACGGACGAGAGAGGAGAGAGAAATAATGGGTAGAGGAGTGAGGCGAACTCCGAGAGGGGGCAGCACAATTGTTCACGACTTTCAACGATTGAAAGAAGAGCACGGACCAAAATCGGCACTGGCAGCTCGACGGTAGGGTCACACGTCTCGCTGGACCATCATGCTCTGCACGTCGGGCGACCCGCCCTGGGCGTCCGACTGGCGGCGTTCACGCGCGCTCAGCCAGGCGCCCGACGGGAAGCGCTGCGCGACGCCGAGTCCAGCAGCCTCCAGCTGGCCCCGTCCGCGCCTGCGCGGCCGCATCCACTACACCGATATTCCTCTGTAGCAGAGGGCACGGCGTCCGCCACAGCGCCTGGCATGCACAATGCGCTGTCCCACGGCTCGGAGGAGGTTGTGTACACCGGGAGTGCCTGAAGGCCGTAGAGCAGGGCTGGACCTAAACGGTGCTTTCGGCGATTTCGTGGGCCGTGTTCGTTTCGACTCCGTTTTGCGGTAAAGGCGGATCCGAGACAGAAGCGAGGGAAAACGAAAACAAAACGAAAACGAAAAACACCGTTTAGGTTCAGCCCTGCCGCAGAGCTCGTCTCCATCTGCCGCACCTTTTGCACGTTCCCTGGGGGCGTACCGCGCGAGCTCACCGGGTCCCAGAATCATCCAGGTCGCCAAGCTTCGCGCCTCCCGCGGTGTGTGACGCGCGGCTACCTTCGCCCCCCTCGCGCCGCCGCCCTGGATAACGGCATATCATCTCGAGCTCAGGCCGCGACGCGCGAGGCGCGATCATCCTCGCGCGCCCCGCGGGCGACCTAGAGTATTTGTTCAAGTTTGGCTTCAAGGGGTGTTCTGGGCCAAACGCCCAGGACCTCTTACGCCCAATGCGAGCCCAACCCCGCAAGACGCAGGCCACCTGACTTCGGTCATCGAACCCCGCGATGCGACGCGCGCGGTTATCTTCGAAGCCGCGATGTGCGAAACGCGATTATCTTCGCGCCCCTGTGGGTGACCTAGAAGAGGCTTCAAGTATGCCCATCAAGCCCCTTGCAGGCCACGAGCTGGTCCTCCCGAAAGACCGACAGAGGAAAGCAGAACGGGTCTTGGTCCACGACCGTGGCACGGTGCCGAAATGGGCCGAAGGACGCCGGATCCGCCGCCCCCTGTGGCCTGCCAGTGGTGCACGGCGTGCCAACAAACGTTGTTAAAGTGGCCCCACGACACACAAATAAATACACATTCATAAAAGGATTCCCCATATTTTCCCATATTTTCTGGGTTTCTGTCTTCCCCCCCACTTCCCATATTTTCCCATATTTTCTGGGGAATCGACGAATAATTGTGCCTGTGTGTTTTTTCCCCTCCTGATATGATGAGGCGCCCAGCGTAACCTCGGCCGATCCCACCGGCGCGGAAGGGCCTGCAACCGTCCCAGGTCGTCGGCCTTCGCACTCCAAGTCGGCCCCACAGGCGGACAAAAAGGTGCCCCAAACGGCCACCAAGATGGCCTCAAGACAGTCGGGCTGCCGAAATAAGGAACGCTGAATCAGGAACGAAGCCCCCTCTGCGGCTTCAAAAACGCCTGGGTGCACGAGCAGGGCTAGAGGAGCAACCGCGGAAGAACGTAAGGAACATCGAGCCCCCTCCGAATCCAAACTGTTTCTCATTTCAGCGTCTTGGCTGTATCGCCCAAGACAGAGGCCCAGCGATGTCAGCAAGCTCCCCCCTCGGCCTTCCGAGGGGCCCGAGCCTCGGGACGGCCAGACGACGGTGCCCCGTGGAGCGCCCGAGAGGGCCCCGAGCCAACGCACGAGGCCCCCTCGACGCCCTCAAGCGAGGGGCCCCGGACGGCCCACGACCGTGCCACGACCTTCCCCCCAGAAGGAGGGCTCGAAGCCAGCCCGGAGAGCCGCTCGCTCTGGACCGAGTGCGCCTCCCCCCCCCCACACTTCGGCGGCGAGCCCAGGGGGGAAAGTTGAAAGGGGCGGGCCTGCTCAAAGGCTCGGAAGTCCCCCGACTTCCTGAACAGTCGTCTAAGCCCTCCCGGAAGGCACAGAGAGCCTCTCAGACAGCGCGAGGGTTTCTGAGAAGTCCCGCCGCCTTCTGCGAAAGCCTTCTCCTTCTCACTTCCCCCCCCATCGCTCGCCGCTGAACACGGGTCCCGACAACACCTCGATAAATCATGAGTCATAGCCGACCGAATATGACATCGATTATCCGCCTCACGTGCTTTGCAAGGGTCGAGGCAGTGGTGATGGTGGTGATTCGCCGTAGGCGTCCACGATATACCCGCACTGTAGTATCGCAAAATTCGGCGTTAAAGAATTCGGAACGCTCCGCATGTAGATGCTGAGGAGGGCTTTAGCGGAGAAGCCGTGCTATGAGAACGCAGAGAGGCGGTAATGTAGAGCCTTGTTCACAAGATGAGTGTATGGGGATACGTCCACAAAAAGTGTTTGCACTTAGTTGTTCTTACTCCCCTTACTAAAAACTTGGTTGGGTGCAGCGAAGATGTTCCACGTTAACGCCCGTGGCCGTCTCGTGGCCGCCTCGTGCGCCGAGTGGGTCACGCTGCCGCCCGTGGCCGCATCGTGAACGCACAGATCGTACACTACGTAGCTCACGCCAGCTAACTCGCACCACATATATTGTACCACATAGCTCAGACCACATAGACTGTACCACATAGCTCACGGATTACAGCCCACACTACACAGACTACACCGCATGGTTTACTTCACATAGCTCACACCACATACATATCTATATATATATATATTTATTTATATATTTGCATATATACAGATGTACAACTATGGATTGCATTGTTTGTTTCACCACAGAGCTTACACCACGTAGCTCATCACACATGTATTGTAACACATAAGTTACACCGCATAGCTCCCACAACATAGGTTGCACTTCATGTATTGCGCCACTTAGCTTACACCTTGTAGCTTACACCGCATAGAACACACCTAATAGATCACATACCATAGCTTGCACATCCATAAACCATCATCTCACTGCTTGCGGTCCACGATGGCACAAATTGAGTACTGTTACGATCGATAAAATTGTTTGGGGGTAGAGGATGGGGATTGAGAAAGAAAGAAAGAGAGAGAGAGAGAGAGAGAAAGAGAGAAAGAGAGAGAGGGACAGAGAGAGATAGAGAGAGAGAGAGAGAGAGAGAAAGAGAGAACGCCTCTTCGGATCAGGTCTCCTGCCGCAGGGCCGCGCCACGCGCGCGCTCGCCGGGGGGCCTCCTGGCGGCCCCTGCGGCCGCGCCGCGTGGCGCCTCGCGGAGCCCTCCTGGCGGCCCCTGCGGCCGCGGGCCTGGCGGCGGGCCCGTCCCCGTCGGGGACCCGCCTGCTTCGGGCTGCCGCTGAGGCCCTGCCCGCCCGTGC